GTTTGGTTTTACTTGTATTAATGTAAAAATACGAGATGCGCAACACGGACAAATTTCTCAAATTAGCTGATGATTATTTTCCTTGCAACTATCCATTTTCTCGTAACAAAACCAATAAACAAATAAATAAATAAATGAATAAATCTTGCCTTGAGCTTCTTCTCGGCTTCCTTCTCCGCCTTGACCGCCGCTTTAGCTGCCGCCTTCTCCGCCAGCTTCCGTTTTCTCTCCTCTGCTTGGATGCGCTTTGCAATCTCCTCTTCCCTTCTCTGCTCCTTCAGCTTCTTCTCGTCAACTTCTTCCTTCTTCGGTTTATCCTCCCCGACAAAATACTCATCCTCCTCGATTTTCTTGCTATTTACCTCGTTTTTCTTGCTCTTCGAAGCCCCGTTCGGTTTCTGTACCTTTTGCTCGGTCGGGTCCGATTCCTCCATTGTGGGGCCCACAGACTCTTCTTCCTTGGCGATCTTCGGTTTGGACAGCTGGCGCATGTCGAGCGAGGATAAGATCCTCTTTTCGTAGTCAGCTCGGAAGGACTTGTCGGAGTTCCAAAGGGACATGAACTTGTCTAACTGAAACCGGGTCAAAAAGTTTGGATAGATCAATAGAGGATAATTGTTTTTCTTTTTTCACAGTTTTGTATAAAATCGTACAGTACTACTTGAGAATTACAAAAGCAATAAATAAGAAATGACAATGTAAAATGTAACCTCTGTTTCGGAAAGCTCTTTAAGGGCATCGACTTCTTTGTTGGCCGCCAGAGCTTTGGCTTTTGTAAGGAGAGAGCGGTTTTGGTAAAACGGGGAATTCTGCAATTTGTAATAATCATTAACGATGAATTTCCTTTTTTTTTTCAAATGTAAGTAACTCAAATGATCACAAGACACTAATCATGTAAATTGTAACAGATTGAAGCAATTTCAATTATTAATTTATTACCACTGTATTACTTTGCAGCCAAAATAGATAAAATAACATTAAACAGAGAAACAAATAAAAAAAAAAGCATGTCAAACATTTAAAAAAAAATCATGAACATACGACATATAAAGCATCGACTTGCAAGTTATTCATAATAAAGACTCATATAAACCAGGGAAGGAAGAGTAAAATCTGCACAAAGAAAGACACATATTATTTAAAGCTATAAATAAATAAATAAATAAAAAAAAAAATATCAGCATACCCCTTCCTCTCGTTGCTTCCTCATATCCTTAATCGTTTCGAATATTTTGTCCCTTTTTTCTGTAATCGCATTCAATTCACCCTCCAAGACATTAATATCTTTCTCTATAGCCAGTTTTTCCTCGTCTAGCTGCTTAAGCTTGGCATTGATCACCTGTTTTTCCTTTCGAACACCATCAAGCCCAACGCCGATCAACTGAAAAGTCAAAACCGCGAGCAAATTATCAGTCAGATGAATCCAAATATAAATTTTCAGGTGAATATTTTACTAAATTGTATACTCGAGAAGCTACTTACTTTGACCTGGCCCTGAATCGCCTCTTTTTCGCCCAACGAGTCTTCAATCCTTGCCCTCTCAGCAGCATTTGCAATTACCTTTTGCCTTGTGCCCTCGAGTTGCTTTATTTCCCTTAGGATCTGTTTCTCTTCGGTGAGAGGAATGCTTTCGTGCTGAATTCGGTATTGTAAACTTTTAATCTGAAATTTTTCCGCAAACATAAAGTTAATGTAATATAATTAGGATAATAATAACAGATCCAAACTTATACAACTTCAAAGAACAAAAAATAAAGTAAAAACTAAAAAAAACACTTTGTAAATAATAAATACATATGAAAGCTTACAACATAATTGAGTTCTTCCTCAGATGAACATATGCTTGGGCCCTTCTCTCCACCACCGGAACCCCTCAGCTTGCCGAGGGCCTGCTGGAGAGGTTCCATTTCTTTTCTTTTTTCATCCATTATATTCCTAAACTGTTTGTTCTCAACACCTAGGGATCTTAACTGGCTTATTATTTGAGCTCGATCGGCCTGCAATACATGATTAGTTTTATCAGTATTCTTACGTGATGTAAGAAAAAATATCATTTCTAAATTTGAGATAACAACGAAACAGAACTCGAATCATAATTTTCATCAGCCCCAAACAGAGTATCCTATAAAACGGATTCTTTTAAAGACTTAAGTAATGGTACTCGCATTTTGTAACTCATACAGAAGTCCATTTGTCAGTCACATGAATCAATTTACTCGAATTTTATTACCAAGAAAATCGTGGCTGGCATACCCCTCATATATCTTTACTTGTTTTATCTTTGGAAAGGTGAATATTCAAAGCAATTCCAGATTACACCAATAAAACAGGTTCTTTTAAAGACCTGAGTAAATGTATCAACATTTTGTAACTCATACACAGACATCCACTTGCACGTCACATGGATCAATTTACCCGAATCTTAATACCAAGAAAATCTTAACTCAACAGATAGCATACCCCTCATATTATATCTTTACTCGTTTTATCTTTGTAAAGGTGAAAAAATTCAAAGCAATTCCAGATCACACCAATAAGAGAGAATACCAAATCTTACCCTTTTAGCCTTTATTTTTTCAACAATCTGCAACCGAGCCTGATTCTTCTTCTGCAGCTCTTTCT